ATTTAAAATAACTTAAAATGTTTCTTTTTCTCAGTTTAAACATTTGATGTTTTCTATCATCTACATTTTACACAGCACTCCAGCTTCATGAAATTGAGGTTTATATTGAATTAGTTTGTAATTCACTGGCACAAAACACTCAAAATACACAAGCCAAACGACAGACAAAGCTAACTGCCATTAGCAAGGCAAATATTCCTCAGAGAGGACACCACCCCAAAAGAACACGTGTAACACAACAACGTAAAATAGCTCGCAGTGTCTGCAGATCTTAAAGCAAACACAAAATGGCAAAATCCACCAGCATTAAAAGCAAAGTTTGTCATCAAGCCTTGATTAGCCTTTGAAAGGGATGACAGATGACTGTCTGGCAGGCAAGCGCAGAGAAAAAATGAGTCTTTTAAGCCTTCTGAAAGCAGTTGTTGGCAGAAGAAGCACGGCATGAGCATAATAACAGTGTTACAGCTTCTAAATAAATCAGAAGCTGCATGGAAACATTTTGCAACCTTGAATAGGACGATGTGCAGAAACTGTTTTGTAAAAACTATGATGACAAACTTGTGCACCATTAGCTCCAACCTAATCAACTTAAATGATCCCTGTAGACCAAACAGCAGAACAGCAACTGTGTTTACATGGATCTTTCTTAAATTCACTCAATACCATCTGTTTGTTTTCTGGACCGAGCCATTCCACATGATATTCCTGGGAATCGGCTATTTGGGGGGAAAATGCCTTATAAGATTTTAAATGTTCTGGGCTGCAATTTGTTTAAGTGTAGAAATTGTAGGCAGAAGGATTCCAGATGTGTAGTTGAAGAAAATCATAGCATAGAGAATCATATCTAGTGATATAAGATTTCATGGTCATACAGCTCGATGTCCCCACTTTATTTATGATGACTTCCTCATGACAGAAAAGAAGGGGAGCATGTGTGCATTGCGTTATGCTACACTACATTAAAGGCCTAAACTGGTTAATAAAAAGCAGGATGCAGGATGCAGAAAATGACGTGCTTTGAAGTTCAGATGTCCCCCTTACAAACGCTCAAATTAAACTCACATCCATGAGTGGTGAGGTTCTCTCAGTGCAAACACCCACCTCTGTCCCACCATCAGGACATTTACCTGCATAGTTTTGATGATTCTATTTGGTGTTATTCGGCAAAGTTTAGATGTGGGGCAGGCAGATTTTCTTTTCTTTCTTTCTCTCTTCAGAGATTTTCTTTTATGCATACTCTGTAGTTTGTAGATGAGTATTGTTATTTATCTGGATGGAGTTAGCTTAAATTGCAAAGACAGAAATATCTCTCTGTATATTTCCGGTCGAGTCCAAATGCATGTAGGATGGAGCCGTTGTTTAACTCGAAAGATGTTATTATGAAGGGTAAACTTGCAAAGGTTTACACTTTAATTTCATCTACATTTGGACTTTGGGTAACTTTTTGATACATGTATTTACTTCTTTTCCTTTCTTTTTTTCTTTTGAAAAAAAAAGTTGCTTATTAACTGACCGCTTTATTTTCCTCAGGAGGGTCTAATGAGAATAAATGAAGTAGAAGCTACTGGCACAAACGTGAGCATTGTTGATAGGGCTTTCTTTTTTCCCCCTCTCTGCTACTTTTCTCTCTATGATGCCAGGTAAGACTGATACCTACTCTTTTTGTTTGGGTCTGTTGGGATCCTCAGCTCATATTAGCAACAGTTTTACTTGGCACACTAAGTGCAAAAAATTGTTCAAAAACAGTGAAAAGTCATAGATGGCTGGGCTGCAGGCATGGCTTCAGGGAAGCTTCTGGTGATATCTGTAAGTAACTGAATTCAAACTTTATGGATAAAGCACAACTTTATTATTATTCAGTTTGGTTCAACACACTGTAGCCAGTCCTATCGGTTTTGTCCCACATTATACAACTTTACATCAGGAAAGACTGAAGCACTGCATTTAACCTTAAATTATATGGAAAGAAGAAACCCGCTGCCAATTCTGAAAAAGTCAGAATAGTGTGCAAAATGGAAATTAACATTGTCTATTTTATTATTTTTAACCATATGATTGGACTAGAATTGGCTGACAAAACTTGAGATTTTAAGATATATTCATGCAGCGTGTGATTTGTGTCTTTATGGTGTCATTGTGACGTCGTAGGGCATTGCATTAAAAAAATAAAAGTGCGTTGTACAGCTCTAGCTCTCTCCATGCCAGTGATGGATCTAGAACATTTTAATAGGGGAGGGGGGCATATACCTCTTCCAAGGGTCAACTTGGACAAAGGTCAGGGTCAACGCTAACACAGTTTCCTGGGGTCATAAAATTGACATGGGAGTAACAGCCTCAGTGCTTCAGTTACTTGGTAAATAATCTGTTTGTGCTTGCAGTGTGGTAGAACATATTCAGTAATTGTGGACAAACCTGATTTATTACCACTTAAAACAATGATAATCAGTGCTTGCTTAATGAAAGTAATTTACTGTTTATTGATGGAAATTCCAAAAAAAAAAATAGTGAAGCACTGGACCTGCCGAGCAGGCCGTGTCTCATCTGCACCACTGAACGTACCCAAAGGTTTATGAAATCTACATCAGTGTCTGCATGTGTGAAAGTGCAACGGGAACACAATGATCCATTTGTGAAGTTTGCCACGTGACACCTAGAAGTCAAAGACAAACATAATGATAGGAAATGAGATGTGTGACATTGTCGCAGCCGAATCCGGATATTAACGCTGGAAATGGAACTTCTGGGAGTCAAGGAGAGCAAAGGACTCCGAAACAGTGTCTAAATCAACCAATTTTCCCCGGATGAATAATGTCAATGTGATGAATTCATTACTTCTGCAAGAATTCATGCTGAATATAAGGGCCTACCATGATACACAGCCCCCACTGTGGCCATTCAATACCCCTGTTCCAAAAAATTACTGTCACAGTGACATGGCGCCAAGCTGCCTCTCGGGGGATTTTGGCCTCAAGGATGTGATGAGCCAGGAAAAAATAAACGGCACACAGCCCCAGGCAGAGAAAATGATAAGTTTGCTGTAATATCATCCAGGAGCGGTGCCCCCAGCGTGATACTCAAATACTTATATATGGCGAGACAGACAAAAGAAAGAAGAATTTCAGACGAGATGCGAATTCGACACAAAACAAAAGTCACAAAAAGCCAGCGTGTCAGTCGGATATTTTATTAGTGCCTTACCAACAAGCTTTGAAGGAATTTCCCCCTCAGGCTACTGAATCCACGTCCACACTATGAATAATAGCTTTGTTTGGGCGACTGCATTATTTATTCATTCATTCATGTATTATTAACCCCTTTAGTTTCATTATATGACCTTGTGAGGAAAAATTTCTTCGAATCTTAAAACCAAATCTAGTTTTCCAGCAAATCTTACCAGCAGAAAAAAGAACTGTTCAATTCTGCACTTATCATAATGCCAGGTTTGGACTCTGGTTTGAGTTCAACATTTTATTTCTGTTTATTGTTATGTGTTGTTTTTCCTTCTTGTTGGTTAGTTTCATATTCTGGTTTATATTTTGTTTATTGTTGTTTTATATGTTTTGTTTTATATTTTGTTTTCCATGATTTTCCTCTGTGGTTTGGTTATTTTATTGATAATTTGTCATCACAGCTGATGTTAATTCCCTGAGTTTCATATTTCCTGCCCTCCTGTGTCTCCAGTGTCTGTGTTTCTCTGTTAGATGTTAGTTACTGTTTTATTTTGATAGTCTCTCCTTTTGTGAGTTTCACTTGTGTTTTCCATTTTTTTCGCATCTCCGATTAGTCTTGTGTTTTTAAATCCTCCCTCTGTTGTGCTCTTTGTCGTGTTGTATTGTTGGTACTCGGTTCTTCTCCTCTCGTGTGTCTTCATGTTTGGATTTTTTTTACTAGATTTCAAAAATAAAGATCTGTTTATTTCACGAGTCTACATCTGGATCCGCCGCCACACATAATACAACAATTCTTAATGTCAGTAACTCAACAAAAAATAAAAAGGCTTTGTTAAATGTTCCTGAATATTTATTTCAACATTACGAAAAAACCTCAAAAGTTAATTTAAAGACATGGCAGATTTTCAGTTAACACACCAACATTTCCACACAATGGATGAAACATTACATTTTAATTCATCTCGTCACCTCTGATGGCAACTCTTTAACTGACCCACATTCGCACAGTGCTGCCGTTCACACATCAAAAATAAAGTTCTGCTTACTTCAACTGAACCTCAGATTTTCAGATTTATTCAAAGAAAATAGACAAAAATATGCACACGTGGAATTTACTGTACAGATAAATAGTCTTCACAGTGTGCATTTCAGAATCTTTCTGTATAGTGATGACATATGAAATGGTAATTAGTGTACTTTATGAGACTGGTCTCAAATCGTCTTTTTTCAGGTTTCAGACCGAACCCCCCCCAAAATAAATAAATAATCTAATTTTACAACACAAAGTTAACAATTTTTCACAATCCAGGCAACAGCTAGTCTTTAATTTTGCCCTTTTGGACAGGTTTTCAGCTGTTCTGTGTTTGATTCCAGTTTTCCCTTTGCTTTATTATTCCAAGTATATTAGTTTGACTTCTTGGTCCTTAAGCAGAAAAAGCTGATGACTGCAGTCGTCAGGCATTCTTTGGCTTTGTTGAACTTCCTCTTTTGATACCCTTCTGTTTGTTACCTGGAGTTTTCAGATGCCGAGTGTGTTTTGGACTTTTGCTTGTGACCAGAGATGGGCAGTAACATATTAACGAGTAAAGTAAGTAAAGTAAAGTAATGAGTAAAGAGGTGACAATAGAGTTGAGAGTGACGGGACTTAGTGCTGCGGAATCTTTGATTTTATTCATTTTTTGCTGTTTTACTTGCATCTATCTGAAAAAGCGAGTGTAAACACAAAACATTATTTTTATTTTATATGCTGGAATATGCAGAAAATAGGTTTAAATGTTAAACAAATTTCTTCAAGTCAAAGACTGTTGCATATAATTAAATTTTTGTCTGATGCAATGTGCATAAAGTCAAAAGATTAAAACTAATAAAAAGTTTTAAAAACAGACTTTTTCATTTGATTACATTTTATATGATGGATTATGCAGAAATAAATAGAATTGGGCAGAAAGGTCTAGTGCTTTATTACCTTTTGTTTTTTTTAAAGTAACTAAATAATAAAGTAACTCATTACTTTTGAAAATAAGTAATCAGTAAAGTAACAGGATTACATTCTTGGAGAAGTTTTTTTTTCAACTAATTACTATTTTTAAGTAACTTGACCAACACTGCTTGTGACCTATTAATATTTTGTTTGTTTACTTTGTCCGACTCTGGATCCTAATTCTGCAAAATATCACATGTTGGGCAAATTCCTCCACACTTTACCATCATCACAAAGTGCATTCATCAAACTTTTAGTCTGAAGTCCATTACTCACAGAGTGTGTTGCAAATAAACAATGGTTAAATGTCCAGATTCAAACGTGTCGCGTAATGTATATAGCATGTCGAATGCGTTGCGTTTTTGCTGAAAATTTGTCCTACAAAAAAAAACGTACAGTGAAAAACAGAAGTCAACATCAAGCAATGATGAGCCGACCCTTATCTAAAGAAAAGGAAGAGACTAAGAATTTGGTTCAATCCACGTCTTACAAGAAGGCAGCAGCAGGGAGAATTTCATGCTTTGATCCAGGAGTTGAAGCTGTATCACCACCACTTTCGTACATTTCGAGCTCTTGTTGCCAGAGTTGAAACTGTGGAGGCAGAGAAATAATATCAATGAGCTGAATGACCTACAGCAGCGACTAGCTTTGTGTCTGAGGTAAAATAGTATTATTTTACTCCTTGGACCAGTGTGTGTACTGAGCTACGGAGCATTTGTTGCCAAATGCAGCGGTGGGATTCGTCAGATCTGTTTATTGGAATCTCAAAAGTCTACACACCAATGTCAAAACAAATGTGGCAAATTCCCCACATTATCTGGATGTTACAGCAACCTTAACAGTGGTTACTGATTCTTGTCTACGACATACTTACTGCATAAACACAGTTTCTACAGTTCATCTCGTGGTCGCGTGTCCTGCAGCCAGTATCTGTAGACAGCCACGGGATCTACATTCCAGTGCTTGTGGAAGGAGATGGCGTGCTGCGTAGAGATCATTTCCTCGGAGTAGTCATCTGGTCGGGCCTGAAATATCAAGGACAAGCGGTTTGTCTGTCTGTGCGTGTGCCCCGCACGCCTATCCACAGAACAAGGATATCTGTATTATCTCAAAGAGCAGGAGTAAACGCATAATCATAAGATAAACTATAATTAACAGGCAGAAAACACAAGAATAAAATTCAAAAAGCCCCACCAGGTTAATTACAAAGCTGCAAGCTTCTGGGACAAAATGATTAATGTCTCAATTATTTTGCTATGTGGCAAACAGATTGTTTCTCTCGGGTTGCGAGGTTCAGCACTCTGTAAGGAAAGCAGAACCACATGGCATTCTCTGGGTCTCTCTAATTGACCTTCATTTAAACAAGGCAAACAGGAAGAGAGTATCACACTCTGCATCATCTGGTCCTAAGTAAAGGTTAATGTCTTCATTAACACTTGGGGCAATTTGGGCTCATTTAAGTGGCGTCTCTGTGCATTTAATCAAGGTGTGAGTCGCTTTGCAAAAGCAAGAAAACAAAGACAGAAATGGTTTGAAAGGCTCTTCTTCTATTCCCCTACCCACACGTCTTAAACTTTAGCACTTTGGATTTATTTTTACTAAACAGCCTCATATTAAATTGGTGCTCCAGTAAATGAAAACATTACAATAGATTTTAAGTTCATAAGCAGCTGCTCTTAAAAGAACGATTCCTATTTAAGTCAAGCAGATATTTACTGTTTAATTAAAACTTCATGCTTTACATCTGTCACACATTTTCTGTGTTCAGCTGACCTGCTTAAACAGACCAAATTAATTTATGCATTGCTTGTTTCCCAGGAAGTTTTTACAACTCTCATAAAAATAAAAACAACATCATCAAGAGAGCTGTTCACCGTGACAAGAACACGTGCGTGTGTGCGTTGCTCTCTACCTGGTGGAATAGTGGACTGTGTGTAATGGGAACACCGAGCGTAGTGAAGCACCTGCCCAGCACCATGTCATCAGGAGCATCATCGCTGTAGCAACCACAACTACTGGAAAGCAGCCTGGACACCGCCGTCCTGCTGAGCACCATCCTTAACACACACACACACACACACACCATGTCATCAGGAGCATCATCGCTGTAGCAACCACAACTACTGGAAAGCAGCCTGGACACCGCCGTCCTGCTGAGCACCATCCTTAACACACACACACACACACACACACACACACACACACGGTGTTCAGTGTGTAGCGCTCCCTCTGTTATGTTCTTACTATGTAGGCATATTAGGTATGTATACATTAACCCCTCCAAAAACTATTTTTATTTTAGTCATCAGTTAAAGATTTTCAACAAGAACAAATGTGCAAAAAACATTTGACTGGATTACATAATGCACAGAAGAATGTGGTTATATTATTATCAGTATTTAATTCAAAGCTGACATGAAAACTGCAAGGAAAGCCAAAGGTTTTGGGACAAACCCCGTGTAAGAAGCATAGAGTTTGTATTGCAACATTTATTTTTGCTTTATTGCAACACTGGTAAATCCTCACACAGCCTAACAGCTTTAACTCCCTTTTACTATGGTCTGGCTCTTTTAATGCAAATTGAGACCAAAGCCAACGGAGAAGTACAATGTAACAGAAAAAAAAATTACTGGTTCCAGCTAATATGGGCCTTGATGCCATGCCTTGCTTGTATCTGATTGTAGCTATGTAATAGCTAAGGTACAACTATTGCCTCTAATGTTAAATAAAGAAAAATCAGTAATGTTCAAATTTTCACACAAGGTTTTGGCTCAACAATCATTAACACCGACAACCCAAAAATATCATCTGACCCAAAAGCCTCACCCTCCTCCTCCGGTGGTGTAGCTGTATCCCTTCTGGATCAAGCCATAGCCATATCTTTCCCCCAGGCTCACTGCTTCCTTTGGGTCATAGCAACGCAGCAATTGTCTCAACCGGGGTAAACTGTTGGTGGACCAAGAGACAGAAAGTTTGCATAGCATACATAGTACCTACATGCCTACAATAAAATATTAGTTATGTCCATGTCTCATCTCCAGTCCCCTTTTCCCTCTGTATGTTTTTACAGTGTCCGTGTTCCTCGTCCGTCCGTCACGTTAAGTCCACATCTACGTCTGTCGTGTGTTTCACGTCTATGTCTATGTCGTCAGGCTCGCATTACCATGTCTGCGTCCCGTTATGTTTCCTGTTTTATTTTGAAGAGGTCTGTCCCATGTTCATTGAGTTTAGTTTCCCTCTCCCTGTCGCGTCATTATGTTCATTCCAATTAGCTGTGTTCCACGTGTGTTTCCTTTCTCCTCGTCTGCCTCGTATGTATTTATGTAGTCTGCTGTCATGCATTCATTGTCAGGTCGTCTGTTGTTTCAAGCCATGTTTCCGGGTTTCATGTATCCATGTCCTGGTTTGTTCATGTCAAAGTTTTTCATGTTCTATTTTAGTTTACCCCGTTTTGGTTAATGCTTAGTTTTGCATCGGTTTGCCTTGCCCTTTGTCTGTACCTTTTCATCAGCCTTATAAAACAGCTCGCCTTTTGTTAAATCAAATTACGTTCCATGTTCCATTGTGTGTGCGTTTGGGTCCACTATTCAAAGGCCACGCAGTCTGCTTCAGCCAGATTGTGACATCGTGGAAGTTAATCTTAGTAACAACAAGTAACAACATTATGATATAAGGATCAATTGAAAGGCAGCAACCCAAACAGACATGTTTTCTATGCTACAGTATACATTAGAGGTGGGAATCACCATACATCCCACGATACGATATTATCACAATACTTAACGCACGATACGATATTATTGCAATTTTTAAAATATTTTGCGATATTCAGATTCTGTACATAAAGGTAAACTTTATCAATATTCATTTTATCTAATATCAAAGTCTCACACTCAGTCTCTCATTTCAGTCAGTTTTATTGTTGACAAACTGAACGGTTTGTATTACAGTCTAGTCCAACTTAACTGAATGCAACCATCTGGTACAATTATAGCTATTCTGAACTATGCAATTTATGAAAACTATGCAGCCCCTTCAGCAACTGAAGAATTTGAAAGTAAATTAAAACAAAATATAATTTTACATTAAATAAAAAAGTTTTAAACTTAATTAAAATAAAACATGTCTTAAATTAAAATAAGTAAACTGTCATGTTTATTGCTGCCAAAAAAAAGTTAAACACATTTGGACAGTGAAGGAATGTCAGGATTCTTGCTCAGAAAAAGGATCAACATGCTCTGAAGTCAGAGCACAAAAACCTTTTTTGTAACAAAATATCGATTTCTGCTGTCCCTGTATCGATACATTATTAGCAAACAAAATATCACGATACTACACAGTATCGATTTTTCCCCCCACCCCTAGTATACATATACACTATAAATAGAAAAAAGTACTGGGCCAGTTTTTTGCTCATGCCAGAGGATGTTTGGAGCCCTGCAGTTATTGAGTGTCGGAGACCACAGCGTTCGATGAGTCTGCACTGTAACTTTACGTGGTTTCTGCTACGGCTGAGCTGCTGTGGTTCCTGATTACTTGCATTTTGCAATAATAGTATTTACAGTTGATTGTGGATTACCTAAGAGGCAAGAAATGCCCCACACTGACTTTTTTCAACTGTGGCATCCTATTTTAAGGCGTGACGCTCAAATCCAGTGTGCAGGGCTACATGTTTGATTTTATACAACAGTGTAAATGATACTAAAAACAGTTGAATTGAAACATTAGACATTGTGGCCATATATTCAGGATAGGAGGATACACAAGATTAACATTGTGGACTTTTTTTGCAAACTTCACTACAATACCTCTTTTTTTTTTGCATTTCATATTAAATATGCAGATTAGAATGAAAAAGTACATTATAAACCTTTTTATAAACAACTTTCATGATTATAGTTACTGGCTGACTGGCTGTAGCTTTTTATTTTATTCATAACATTGTATTGTGATATATCAATGTATTAATTTTTGTGTGTGTTAAATAAAGAGAAAAAATATTTTCCAGCTTACCTGATGAGAGTATCATCATCAACGATGAGCAGCCAATCGGCTTTCGGCACAGCTTTGCCTAAAAACCGCCTCAAGATTGCAAACGTCTTCCCACAGTGTCCTTTAGGGGAATAAAATATACAGAAGAAAATGTGAAAAAGATTCAACATCACATTCAATAAAAGCTCGAGCTGATTTATTTTGGTTGATAATCATGTCAAGGTCATGACCTTTGGGGGAGTGGTCCTCTCTTAGTGCACTTGTTAATGTTGTGTTTCAATAAAATGGAGGAAAATGTTTACAAAATGATAAACAATGGGGAGAATTGGAAGAATGAGCAAAAGCACCTGCATGTGTGTGAAATGACAAAGTAGAGCCAAGAAAAGGTTGTGGATATGAGATATGAGGAATAGATGGATGTGCAACTCTCTTCCATGTGAATGGACTTCAAGTAAAGCACAAAGGTGCATCTCAGACAAGAGTGATATCATTAGAGAGATAAAACTGGTGTCCGTGTCTTTTTCACAGAAGCTCTGTTTAGTATTTTTTGCTCGAGCACCTATTATGACAAAGATTAGGTGACATACACACTTCTTTTCATCGCTAACAGCCAGTTAACTGATTAAATCAGACTGTCTTTTGATTTGTCTGCTCATACACTGACTGTGGTGCACTTCAAATGTGTAAGGACAGGAAATATGGAGCTCGATACTTCAGTCCTCAGGAAAGGAGCTATTACATCCTGTGATTAGACAGCTGTGCAGAGGTGAGCCAGGGACCAGGAGCTTTAAATTTTCCTTCATTAACTTTAACACTTGCAGCTTTTATGCCTGCAGCTCAGGGCAACATTGTGCTTCAGTATCCCCAAATGTGTTCCATGTTTCACTGAGCATGATCAGACGACACTTGCATAAATGCTGACACAAATCAGGCACAATGTTTGCCATATTTCTCAGCATACCAGCATCTCCTAAATAGTACGAAACATAAAGTGCATTTTTGGCTTATGACCAACTCTGCCTTTCTTACTGTCATGTAGCTAGTTTCGTGATGACTTTATTAATGCATATTCTGGAGTGTCTACACAATCTGACTAGTCTTCCCAACAATTTTAAGCTACAAATGATCTTCATCTGACCTCTGACAGGGGACACATCTCTGTGCTTGTTCTGTTAGACCTCAGCGCAGCATTCAATACCAATGACCCCAATATGTGACCACAGAGATTAGAACACAACATAGATTCATAGCTATCTGATAGATTCCAATTTGTTCATGTAAACGGGGAGTTTTCCTAAAAGCCGGATCCGTACACTATATTGCTATTATATATTTGTCTGCTGTCACATGCATATGAACTTGACAACCCATTCTTAATCCATAGGGTTTACTATGATGCCGGCCCACCCTTTGGAGATATAATAGCTTTAAGCATATTAGGTGATGTGCATCTCTGTAATGAGAAGGGGTGTGGTCTAATGACATCAACATCCTATACCAGGTGTGCATAATTATTAGGCAAAATGGGTCAAAAGAAGGACTTGACAGGCTCAGAAAAGTCAAAAATAGTGAGATATCTTGCAGAGGGATGCAGCAGTCTCAAAATTGCAAAGCTTCTGAAGCGTGATCATCGAACAATCAAGCGTTTCATTCAAAATAGTCAACAGGGTCGCAAGAAGCATGTGGAAAAACCAAGGCGCAAAATAACTGCCCATGAACTGAGAAAAGTCAAGCGTGCAGCTGCCAAGATGCCACTTGCCACCAGTTTGGCCATATTTCAGAGCTGCAACATCACTGGAGTGCCCAAAAGCACAAGGTGTGCAATACTCAGAGACATGGCCAAGGTAAGAAAGGCTGAAAGACGACCACCACTGAACAAGACACACAAGCTGAAACGTCAAGACTGGGCCAAGAAATATCTCAAGACTGGTTTTTCTAAGGTTTTATGGACTGATGAAATGAGAGTGAGTCTTGATGGGCCAGATGGATGGGCCCGTGGCTGGATTGGTAAAGGGCAGAGAGCTCCAGTCCGACTCAGACGCCAGCAAGGTGGAGGTGGAGTACTGGTTTGGGCTGGTATCATCAAAGATGAGCTTGTGGGGCCTTTTCGGGTTGAGGATGGAGTCAAGCTCAACTCCCAGTCCTACTGCCAGTTTCTGGAAGACACCTTCTTCAAGCAGTGGTACAGGAAGAAGTCTGCATCCTTCAAGAAAAACATGATTTTCATGCAGGACAATGCTCCATCACACGCGTCCAAGTACTCCACAGCGTGGCTGGCAAGAAAGGGTATAAAAGAAGAAAAACTAATGACATGGCCTCCTTGTTCACCTGATCTGAACCCCATTGAGAACCTGTGGTCCATCATCAAATGTGAGATTTACAAGGAGGGAAAACAGTACACCTCTCTGAACAGTGTCTGGGAGGCTGTGGTTGCTGCTGCACGCAATGTTGATGGTGAACAGATCAAAACACTGACAGAATCCATGGATGGCAGGCTTTTGAGTGTCCTTGCAAAGAAAGGTGGCTATATTGGTCGCTGATTTGTTTTTGTTTTGTTTTTGAATGTCAGAAATGTATATTTGTGAATGTGGAGATGTTATATTGGTTTCACTGGTAAAAATAAATAATTGAAATGGGTATATATTTGTTTTTTGTTAACGACCAAGACTGTCAGTTCGAGCCGAGCCACGATCTTTTTGGTAGAAATCGTATTATTACATGGCAAATAATTTACCAGTAGGTGTAGTAGAGTCAGAGAGACCAACAGACCCAACATTCATGATATGAATGCACCTGAGTCTGTGTAATTAAATAATTAAGTGAAAGGGGCATGTTCAAAATAATAGCAGTGTGGAGTCCAATCAGTAAGGTCATTCATTATGTGAAGAAACAGGTGTCATTCACATGGAACTTATTTAAGCATGAAGCCAGCACGTGTTTTACATGCAATTCTCTCTGAAAACCTGAGAAAGATGGGTCGTGCCCGACATTGTTCAGAACACCATGCTTTAATCAAAACATTGATTGTAGAGGGGAAAACATATAAAGAAGTGCAGAAAATGATAGGCTGCTCAGCTAAAACGATCTCCAATGCTTTAAAATGCAAAGCCAAACCAGAGAGACGTGGAAGAAAACTGAAGACTACCATCTGAAAGGAATGAACAATAGCCAGGAGGGCAAAGACTCAGTCAATGATCAGCTCCAGGAAGATCAGAGTAGAGCAGGGCGATACGACCAAAAATATTTATCACGATAAACATTTGAAAATTTGCGATAATGATATAACTGACGATATAATTGACATTAGACAAAATACTTTACAACTCCACAACTTTACTAGTGCAAAAAACCCATTAATGTATTTTCACTTAAACAAGCAGCTGTTTTTTATGTGCATTAAAGTTACATAAAAATTTAACAGTGCAAATGCAAATTCCTTGCTGACAGTTTAACCAAAAGGCATTTCCAGTGGAAACTGGCTGACATATCCTCAGCATAACCATGTATAATATCCACAAAACCTAAAAAGAGGTTATACACACACAATACGGTGCATCACATGATTGTTGGGGTTTCATTCTAATATTGTAGACTCTTTACTTTACAATATAAACCTCCTTGAGGTGACTGTTGTGAATTGCTGCTGTATGAATAAAATGTAATTGAATATTCTGATCTGTATCCAGCGGTTATCAGTAAAAATTGTTGCTGCTAATGAACTTACCCCTCTCAGTATTGGACACTCCCAAACTGACTGTTGGTATGGAGGCATCAGTAACATCGCTATAATACTCTAAAAACCCAGACTCTTTCTCCCAGGTCGCCTTCACCACTGGTACTGTGGAAATGAATGGGGAAAGATAACCGAACCTGCAACAACATTAAGCCTTCACCACTGAGCTGTAGACACATACAAACAGATATATATACAGTAGCTATGACTAGTGAAGCACTGATTGATGGCAGGCAAAGCTTCTATTTAATTAATAGACTATAATTTATAGTCTTTAGTCTTTAGACATGACACAAAAAACCTACAAAGTAATAACTTAAAAGTGATCCATGGTAAGTGGGACTCATCTTACCTTAATTTATTCTGAAACACATCCACTAATTATTCACTTGTACAGAGCATCAGTGCTTTGAATAATTGCACAAATTATTACAAATACAAAAACTGTAATATACTGAAATATATTGTTATATCTGAGTTGCATTGTTATTATTCCTGTGTGTCTCAATCACTTGTTTTTAAAATGATCACAGTGGACAAAATGTTGTAAAAGTATAATTATTAAAGGCAATGAAGTACAGTCATTTAAAAAAGGGATTCCCTCTTTTAATGTTTTAAATCTCAGAACACGATGAAAAAATAAATAAATGAATAATTCGATATTTGCCTGGTCTCAAAATTAATAAAAAAGAACCTCAGATGAATAAGACATAAACACAAAAACTAAACTAAAAGAGAAACTATGTACAAATCGTGATTCTATGACTCGCAGAACCACTTTTAGTAACTATAATTTAAATTTTGCTGCATGACTTTAAAAGATTCTGAGATTGTTGTGGGTGATTTTTGCTCTACTTATTTAATTTTCAGGCAGTAAAACTTTATTTGTTGGACACAACATCTGACTCTAGAGTGTTTAGGTATAAAGAGAAGTTCACTGTCAGCTCAGTGGGCCTAATTTATAACCAGTGCATACACACAAACCTGTGCGTAAATGTGTGTAAACATTTCACACAAAAAGATCAGTGATTCATCAATTTATTGGTTAGCAAGTGTATCGATATTCAGCCAGAGCATCGTTCAGGTTTTTTTCCTCCTTCATTTACTTGTTTGTTTCAACCTCTCATAACTCCTGTGGATTCCTGCGCTTCCTTCTCCAACACTTTTATATAAGTTTCTTCAGGAAACTTTCTCATGTTTCTTTTTTACCTTAGTTTGGCAAGCCAGTCTCTTTACTTACACCTCAGTCTCTATTGTCTCGATGCATGCTCAATTATCCAGGTGAGTAAATCCCAAAAGGCTGATTCGTAGTTGATGACGTGGGCGTTTTCGTCACTCATCCTTCTTCAGTCTCAGCTGACTGCAAGTTTCCCCAACTTTATAAACAGCACATTTGCACAATAACTGAATGAACGATGGGCTGTTACATGAAAAGTGAAAGACCATCCCTGAATCGAGGAGGAGGCCTAACACTAAATCTGTCATTGCAGCCATGCCCCAACTCTTTGTGAATGGTACTCATGGCCATTGATCAGTGGCTATTGACCAATGTTCATGACAATTTCCATATTAATGATCAAGGAACTCCCAGCCCATTGTTCATTCAGTGGCTGAGTGACAAAACGTTTCTCCCACTGAAAATGCTACGTCCAGATGAACAGAATCAACCTTTTGGGACTCAATCTCTATTACATGATGTTAAGCATACGATATGCAGATTGGGGGCGACAAACAGAAGCCTGCAGTTGCAGCCTGCAACACGTGTAGTGTGGTAAGAACAAAATTGGCCATTGCGCACATGTAATGAATCTGTTAGTGAATCTTCATGCAAACACATTTCTTGTGAACAAGGTAAGAATAAGAACGATTCCATGCACATTAATGAATGAGGCCTACTGTTCTATAAGTCTTGTGCTTTGTTCAGATGCCACTTTGCAAACCTAAGTCATAGCACCATGTTCTTTTTAGAGAAAAGAACAATTCTGCACAAGCCGTACTTGTTAAATGTTAAAGTTAACAGCAGTACAATTATAAAAAGACTGAACATGTTTAACTGAAGACATGTTATAGAGTCGCTCATACTTCAGTTAATCAAGCGCATTTGATTATCAACACTTTAACCTTTTAATTTGATGGAAATATTAAATAAATAAATGATAAATACATTTATAAATGCAGAACCTATAAAAGACCAGATGTTTTCTTTAGTTTCACTGATATGTAAATCCTTAAAATTGAAACACAATGTGCTTTTTTACATGACAATTCGTTGACAGGCACATTTACGCCAGAGGTATATTTAAGTATACTTATACTTTAAGGTTCTTTCTATTATTTGAGATAGCTAGAGCTGTAACTAGAAGATATATTTTAGATAACCAAATGTATTGAATGTTAAATAATTAATTTAGATTAACAAATTTTGAATTAGTATCGATGTGATTCCTGACATGATGGATCTTGTTACCTACTTACACCTCTGCAGAACAAAGTATTGTTAATTTGTCCGAAGTTGTACACACACCTCGATCTGAGTGGAACTTTTGGCAAGTTTTCACAGCAACAAATACATCATTCTTCGACACTGGATGCCCCTAAAATAAGAGAAAAAGAGAAAAAGTGTCTGCCTTCATTGGGGGGAAAAAAGCACTGTAGCCATCAATGGGTAAAAAAATGTGCTTCAGAATATGTGTTTCATATCAGCAATACATGTAATGTCTACAGAATATCGCATATGCTCAACTCGTCTTATGTTTCAGATGTATAAAAATCATGTAGCAGAGATTTATACTCGATCTGTTCAAATAGTTTTTAAAGCATTCAGTGCAGGTAGCTGTGCACTTGATTTCCATTAACTCTTCAGATTAAATCAGCTCACTTGCTCACAGAACTTTTCTGTTTGCATTCCCATACAGCAGACTTTGGCAGTGGCATAAAGGGCTGACTTCAGTCTAACTAATATGGACAGCTCAGCTGTAATTTGTTGTGACTTAAAGTGATGGATTACTGCACACTGGAAAAAGGTCCAAAGCGTTTAGCCAGTTTTTCCTGTGCTCATATTTGACAATTTAAACTAAATAAGAGGAATATCTCAAAATTTCATTGAGTTTGGTGAGTAAACAATGAACGTTACGTATTATTGCCAAGATGTTAGCGATAATAAAACAGTCTTGCCGCATACGTGAGTCAAAAATAACTATTGTTGACTTATAAAAAAAATCTACAGGTAGCTGTCATAACAGATTTGGTTTTACACCAAAGTTCACACAAAATGAGAAGAACTGAAATGAAAGTTATATCTAGAATAACCAGACAGAGTGAAGCTGTTACATACGCAGTCGGGCAAGTAGGTTGTAAACGTGGTAGCACAGCCGTCTCTCGGCTGTGTGCAAAACTCTGGAACTGCTGTCAGCTTTGGGCCATGTCCTTCCTCCCAAATAAACAAAGCAATCTAGAAAAACAGAACATGCATGAAGACAAATTCAAAGGTTAAAGTGTTTTGTCACTATATTCAAATTAGTGATGGTAAACTTGACAAAAAAGTAAAAAGGCACAAAAAAAAAAGTCAAATAAGGAAACAGTAAAGATAAATTCCAGTCTGGTCTCAGATATTAACAACAGCTAATCCAGGTCCTTTAAACTTTAAACGTGTTTTTACTTCCACTACTTTCTCTGTCAGCATTGGTCTGACCTGGAAGACTGTGACATTGTGTTAACACACACCTGAATGCTCAGAGCAGCAAACCACCAAAACTTCTGCTTTTTTAAAGGTGCTCAAACTTGCTGATGATTATAAAATAAAGTGCATTTCAGCTGCACCTGGTTGCTACTTACCCTCTTAATGCTTACGGAAGCAGTAGGGGTGTACTTAAGTTTTTCACAGGACTGTAAATGCTAACTGCTCCAGTGATGTGTTGAAAAATAATAAACGATCTACCAAAGCTGCAGATCAAAAGCTACGGGGAGGAAATGCTGTTATAATGTACTTTAGCTCAGCTCGTAGACTGAAAGACACTGATTTCAATTTTCACAGAAGAAGAAGCACAAAGTTGAACTGAACCAGTTTTTGTTTGGTTATAATTGATTTAAACGCTCCAAGAAAGTGACAAAGTACCTCATGCTTCAGGTCGATTGTAAAATCTGACTTGAGATTCTCAGACCGTATCCGCTCTGTGAGCCTGAAACACATGAAGGTTGAAGAAAGAAGGTAACAAAGCACAGATGAAATGAGCAGGTTCCCATATTATATAATGAAATTAACAACAATGACTGAAAGTTACTCAGTTATTATTTTGCAGGAAAGCAGCCAATCAGAAGTCAAGCTTGAAGGGTAGGCGATTTTAAAGGTAGAAAGAGACGGTGGACAAAGTAAGGGCCTGCAACAAATCCTAATATAAAATATATAAGATGTATTTTACACTGTGAGTGAAGCAACAGGTAATGGTTAAGATTGCAGCTGATAACTTTTTTCTTAGTGGGACAAAAATAAGTGCTGCATTAAAAGTCATTCTGGGAACATTTCTTTTTTAAAAGATTTATTTTTAGCAGCGCCTTTTCTTTCTCATCTTTTCTTTTTTGTTTTTGTTACTGTAAACTGTCTCCCTCACTCTTGTAGGTCCTTATTTTTATTGGCTGAATTTAGCTTAGTCTTTACAATTAACAGATGTCTTATTAGAAAGCTTATAAAGGTCTGCTAAATGTGTAAAAGAAGAGAGGAGAGCAACACAGGGACTCACTTTAATCTTTACGCTCACCTCTTGAGCAGCGGCGCACTGAGAGCCCAGCCTGCTGTGGTGTCAGGGTAACTGAAGGAACTGGGGTCCTCAGAGAAGGCATAGTGGTGAATGATGGAGGCCTCGTTGTCATGGAGACGCTTACCCAAAAACCACTCCTGTATTGCAAAAAGATCACCATGATCATCATTTTATGCATAGCAATTGAGCGCAGTCACT